TTCATTTTTATTATGTCTGTTTTTTCCAATGAATTTATCACCCGAAGTAAAAGAGATATGAAACTCAAAACTTTTTTTAAGCATTTTTCATTGAGAATATTTATATTTAACTCGAGCGATTCTTTTGCATTCTTAAATATATAAAAATAATAAAACAAAATTTATCTTCATGAAGCTAACTAAAATACATACACACGATTGTACGTCAGGCTACCACAATATACCAAATTTCTGCAATTGATTTTGAACCTTATCTACAATGGAGAAATTTCAGTTTTTTTTTAAATATAGATACGAACTGTTTAATAACGAAGTAAATTTTTACTTAAGTCATATAACACGACATGATTCCAATAGAACGATTCAATAATAAGTCCCCTGTTTCTGGCGTCAAATACAAAGGTGACACAACACAGCTAGATGTGATCGATGTCCACTGTTCATGTGCCGCTATTAATTGTTGTTATACAGTTAATTACAACGCTGGACAGTGTCTTTCTTGTGACCAAATTTATTATTGATCACAGCGAGCCGTAGATACTGTGTGACAAGGGAATTGGTGTTTTATATCTCTTATCAATTATGACTTGCTCTACTGGAAGCTATACCTATATTTAAGTTTAGTTGGTCGCAATTTTTCAAATTTCAATCAATAAAATATTGCCGTTCTAACATAATATATAAATAAATCATCACTTAACTTTTTGTCTTCAGAATGAAGGCACAGAAAAAAATCTGTTAAAGCTTCTAAATAACTTATCTTTTAACTTGCCTTAATTGAATTAGATATCCGTTCTCTGCTTACTCTACATATTAAATATTCAATGTTTATAGACAGAAAAGCAATACAATTTGTTAATTGTGTTGTTTATTTTTCAAATTTTAATTGCATTAGCCAAAGCTTTCTATTAAAATAATAATCCAATGAATACATTTTTAAAATAAAAGTAAAACAATAAATTGCAAAAGTATTATTTAAATAGCTACATAGTAAGTCTACTTAATGCATAAATTTAGTCCAGGTTAGTTGTTGCGAATTTATAATGTTTAATACAGCGTATTAAATATCAATATATACAAAAAGTAGCTCGTTGGCGTAGTGGATAAGCGCCGCGGCCCGCGATCGTAGTCGTTAAGCAACTTTCGCAAGGGTCAGTCACGGGATGGGTGACCAAAAAATTACTATCTCGAGCTACTCCGTGCTTCAGAAGGCACGTTAAGCCGTTGGTCCCGGCTGCATTTGCAGTCGTTAATATCCTCCAATCCGCATTGGGCCAGCGTGGAGGGTCATTGCCCTTCCTCCTTAAGGAAGGCCTGAGCCTCTGCAGTGGAGACGTAAAAGGGCTGATGATGATGATGATGTACAAAAAATAATACTGCGGCCTTTATTGGTACAGCGGTCAATTTTCTTAACCGTTTTGTCACCCAAGCGCCATTATGATAATTTACCCTTTAAATTCGAATGTAATAAAATCAATTATGTGGCAGAGGCGTACCGATAAGTTGACATCTAAATACAATTCGTGACGTATGATATCAATAACAGGCCAACTAACGCGCAGTTGTGCTAATGTCGCGATATCCACCCATTACTATAGAAGGCGAACGAATCAGTTTTTAATTATACCAAAACTTCAACGTTTCCAACAGCTAACACTGTGTTAGAGATATGTGAAAGTTTGGGTACTTCAAGGGTAGGATTTGACACAGTGTTCGTTTGTGTAGCGAAGTGACGTGGTGGCCGATTGATCACCACTGATCGATCACTGTTATGACAGCGCAGTACAGGGTCGTTATTTATTGTTTGAGGTTTATAAGGGCGGGTGTTCACGGTATTTGCGGTGCGGAGCTGTGAAATCTTCCATTGTAACTAAAATAAAAGTTTACGTAATGATTATATTTTTAAACATTTATTTCAAGCAAAACTCAAACTACAAAAACGATAAATTATCCCAAAACGACTCTAGCTCAGCATGGTGCTGGTATTGTAATTGGTGATGTAAAACCGGTTTTTTAAGATATAAAAGACAGTAATATAGTTTTGATATATCAAGGATCTATGATCTAAATCAAATTCGAATAATGCTTGTGGTGAGTTTTCAAACACTATTTCCGCTTTCTATATCATTATATGGATTGATGCAATCCAGATAATTATAACTAGTGTACTTTCATTTAAAAATAAGAATCAATAAAGGTTGGACAACCACCTAAAGTTAGTTCTAGCATAGAGTTATATTCTTTTCTATATTAATTAAAGAATTGAGTTTATATTCTTTAAATTACGCCTGATCACTTCTTTCAAAACAGGGTAAACAAAGTTCACGATGCCATATCAATTTTTCTTAGATCTCTACTTCATTGTTCAGTAGGGTAAGTTTAAAAGAGGGTAATGCTATTGTGCTGACACCTAGCGGACGATTGATGACCGTCGGATTACTGATAACGGCCGCCCGATAACGTCCGGGGTTCGACTCCTTTATGGAATAAGAGGATTTTCTACAAGCTCATAGTAAGCTGGTTAAGTCTCGGTGACAATGATGACCCGAATGGGAGTCTGAAAAATGCGTTGTAAAATATACATCAAGTATTTATTATGGTCCGGTGCTCTTACTTATTTAAGTGATTGCATAAATATTTACATTATATTAAACTAAATTACATACATTGCTTAGATCTCAAGTCAGTGTGATATAAAATCTGAAATAAATAAATTGCCACAACTAACTTAAAGCTAATTAACATAGAAAAAAAAATCCCTGACCAGAAATCGAACATGGGATCTTAGAGACAGGCAACTGGGAAATAATAAAAATATCAAATTGAAATATTCAAGGGATTTTTATATGAAAATGTAACAAATATTAATTGTCCCACTTCGTAAGTTATCTAGAAAGCTACTAGGTAAACTATCTTCTACAATAAATAAATCAGGTAAAGCAATATACAACTACAAAGACGAAGCCGAGTGGTTTCATAGTAACGCCTAAGTTCCCGGATTCGATTTCGGGTCGGGTCAATCTAGAAAACAAACTTTTCTTTAATGTCTCTGGTTTTGGTGTAGTAGTACCTTAGTAACAGTCAGTCACTCAATAATACGTGCCTCCTCTTCTTGAAATCTGAGCTATGCATATGATGTAGTTGCATAATATCGCATTAATTATGCAAGTGCGTCCCTGCGACCATGTGAGCAAATCCGCGTGTAATAGCTAGTATTATAATGTCCAATCAAAACTGGACATTGAGTCTATTTAAATTGAAACAAAGACGCAGTTAGTTTTTAATTGTCTGTACCTACTTAGGAACTCCGTCACGGACGAAGATAATGATGTGTTTGAGTTTAACAACAAAAAAATATATATTTCACATGTTTATCGCGGCACCGGAAACATAAAGAGTACGGCCTGAGCCCCACTCGATAGCAAACGTGTGAAGGAAACCTTGTATTTGGTTCTTAGAAAAAACAAAAATAACACTTATTAAATAAAAAATAGTTTTTTTTACTTAAAGAGATATATTACAAAAGCGTCGGCTCCAGGCGCCTGGGATATGAACTAGCAAGAAATCCAGCTGTGTGTGTTATTACAAGTTTCTAGAGTCCTATGACGTCTCATGCTAAGCATGATTTTTTCCTTACTCGTCCTATTTATTTCATACTCAACCCACAACAATAATTTCATTTTGAATTCCGAGTTCCTAGTTCATCTTATTTTAAAATCTAAAAATATTACATTTCTGTGTACGGTCCGAACAAAAATTATATATTTGATTATATATTATTGTTTATTGTTGTTCTTGTAGATAAAACCACAGGAAACAATAAAATTATATATTGGTGTTAGTAGACTTCCCATGTCCGAAATTTTTTATCTGATAACGTCACTTTATTCCAATCACTGGAATAAGCAGATTAAACACTAATATCTTAATTTAATTATCCGTAAATTTATTTTGTTGGTATTGAAAGACTAACTTCACAATTTAATAAGCTTGATATTTTTCGTGCACGCGTAATTTACCGTAAGTACAAGCAATGGTGGAAGTCGTTAAAAGATTTACTATGAAATCAAACGCATATCGTCATAAAACATGTCAAAACAAATAATAACTTTAATTTATTATTGCAGAGAAACGTCTGCGATTGAAAAATTGCACTAATTAAAAACTTTAATACTTAACTATTTTGGAATCGCAATAAATTCTTCTTAAGCTGTCTTTTACCGCAAAACGTTAGAAATCAGTAATCCAATGACCTTTTGGTCTGAGCAAATGGTCTGTGAGGTCACCGTGGCCATTAAATATCGTTAACTGTTATCCGGAACTCTATTAGTTTTAAAATCATTTATTTTGAAGCCTTACCTGTCTACGATAGTTTGGCACACACATCAAATGTGAAAATTCTAGTTTTTGTTTTTAAGAGGTAAATATACTGTATATTTTTAACATATTTTTGCATATTGCTATAAAATTTGAAAAATTAGAGGGTTTTAGAGAGTATGATAATAAATAAATAAATAAATATAAAAAAATATTTAACAACATCACATACATTGCTCAGATTCCAAGATGAGTAGCTAAAGCCCCCGTATTATGGAGTATCTAAGACAACGAAGGTACCACAACACCCAGACCCGAGTCAATATAGAAAAGTTCATTTTCTACATTGGCCCGACCGGGAATCGAACCCGGGACCTCAGAGATGGCGACACCTTGAAACCGGCGTGCGAACCACTCGGCTACTAATATATGAACTAAAAAGCATGAAATTTTTATATTTGAATATTCTTTAACAAATCTTAAAATCCAGCAACACACATAAATAAAATATCGCTATACAACTAAAGTTACTATTACTTAAAGTAATTGATGATAATATCTTTGTAATTTAAAATATTGATGTGTGCGGTCGGATCATAGACAATCCTTATCTATACATGAGACAAAAAATCCACCAACAAAGATTTATGGATTGAATGCCATTAGCAATTTTATCACCTTACTAATGTTTTCCGGGTCTTCATCAAAATGGAATTCCCATTCAGGAGAGACAGGAAAACTATCTTCTCTTATCTGAAACAAAAGATATTATACGTTTATACAAATGACAAAACAAGAGTAATTGTTTTGCAATGCTAAATTAAAACGGCAAAAAGGTTAACTAAATTGGACAATAGCTATTTAAATTAGAAATCATAAACTAGGATTAGTAACTCAGGAGATTTATTTATAATTTAAATGTTTTGAGATATCGCCCAAGATTTCTTGAAAATTTAGCTACGGATCTTAAAAAACAATAAACCCGAACGGCATAAAAACGAATTTTAAAACATACATGAAAAAATTAACTTTAATCAAAACTGAAAACAAAGAAACAAGCCCAGTACTTTAGAATTATGTTAAGTAATACAGAATAGAACGACTCACAATCGGGGCCCATTTGGGAAGATTTGATTGGTAAAATTTGAATGGGCCCCGACTGTGAGTCGTTCAAACAACTTTAAATCGTTAAATATCTGAAACTATTATTTAAAATGGAAAATGATAAAAGGAACGTAAAGATGATGAATGAACCTGGATTTTAAAATACATATTCAACGACACCCGACTTGATATAGTTCATCGATTTTTTTTTTTCATTTAGACAATATGGCGTCTGGTTGGCGCTGTGATGAATTTTGATTACTGTCATGTCTTTAGTGACACTCGCAAGGTTAAGACGAATCGATTGACGTAAGAATCCTCAAAATCGGCCTACGCATTTGGTCTCTAGAACATAGAAACATACATACATACATACATAGACTGATAAACACATTACCCTCCTTTGCGTCGCGCATTCGAGTAAAAAGGGTATTTAATTTGGAGAACTTAAAAATAAATTAAAACATTGCATCAATACTATTACTATGGTTGTTCTTTTTATAAGACATGAAACATGTTTGTTGAGAATGTTATTTAAGTACCTCTGGCAATTTGAAACCTCGGTAATCAAGTTAATGTGCTATTATAACATAAACTATTGCGTATGTTTATCAACAAAACAATACGCCGGCATTATCAAGATGGCTGCTTACATTAGGAAGCCTGGCTTGATTTATTGTGTCCGTTGCCTGCCACTGTAACGCTACACTGATGTTATACACCACTAATGCCTGCCCCGCGGCTGTCTTCGCCTTTATCTATATAGAATACAAGGTTATCTATACTACTTGCAACAAAAATTTCGGTACAGTTAGTTGAACAAACTTTAAATAGTTTGTCGCTCGTATTGCAAAAGAATAAGTAACACGAAATGTTATAAATGTAGAAATAGACGTTACTCTACACTATTGAATAAAAAAGTATGTCAAATATCAAGTGCCATCTCTTTATTTACCTTTATCTTCACGCCGTATCCCTAGCGGAGTAGGCAGAGAGGATCAAGTGCTACAAGGCACGGTTCTTAAATACATCTTTCGCCTCCGCTTTCTTCTCCTTTTCACAGATGCTCGCCTTTTGTTAAACCCATATACTAAACAAAGTTACTCGATCACTTAGACTACTCTCTGGCGCGAAAACTGTTTTAAATAGCTGAATTAAATTGTTTGTGCAATAACTTTTGATTATATTTACGAACGGACGTCTAAACAAATCCGATTGCCTTATGTATGCTTTGTGGGTTCTTATAGTACCTTATCTGAGTATAAGTCGCTATATATAAATTGTATTTGAGATTAGAAGTTGTTTTGTTTTATAGTATTTAATAGAATTGCGCAGTCAACTGCCGCGTGGACTTTCACACACGTTAGGTAGTGTCCTTGGCGCGTGCGGCGTGACGCTACCAAGGCGCTTCCTCATACAATGCCTGCGTGTTAAGCAGGGTGCATACTACTCACTTTATCTTACTAATAACACACACATACACGCACAAACACAAGAATTAATTCATTTATAAGAAACTCTACACTATTTTTATTTAATAGAGATGAAGGTTGGCATCCAATAATTTGTCAAATAAAAGCTCAATCCAAATCAGACATTGCAAAACCAGAAGATACCGTTAGTTCATTCTGTAAATATTAAATCAAAGGGAGCAATTTCCCCTTTTTTTCTGTCGGAGTGTGTTTTGCAAGTTCTTCTCAGAGAAGACTCCCAAAGTTGGAATTGGTGGCAGATTACTGTAGCCAGGGGTAAATAAATAATTCAAATGTATTTTTTAAATAATTCAATAAATTAAATTTAAACGTTGCCATAAAATATTCATTTTTTATATTGTGAATCTGTCCCATAGTATTGGTTTTTTCAGGTAACTGTAATTAAATTATACTGTTAATTAAAAAGATAATCAACACCTTAGTAATTCCTAACCCCCCGAATGATATTAAATTTGAAAAGATATCATGATATGTAATATTAACAAGATCTGCTAGTGAACGACAAATCTTTGTACTGGATATATTAGTGACTCGGAATAATTTACAAGACAAAAATTTGACATAAAGTACTTGTTGCGAATCGGATTAACACTAAATAATTTTTGTAATTTAAACTGATGTAGTGTATTTTAACAGAGTTACACAAGCACGTAAAACACTCTGGATTTTGACATATTTGTACTATTATGCTGCAAATATTTCAAATACTTATATTTGAATTTGTGTATTCTATATTTAAAGGATTTTATAAATACTTTACTTGCTTACATTTTTTATTTTTACCCGTAACCAGCTGTCATCACATTTATAGACAAAAAGGAATACTATGGTGTGTACGAGGCTTTAGCTATAGCACAAACAAAGGAAAACGAGCAGCAGTAGCCAATATCGCTTCCTCGTTCACGATAACATATTTTACAACTAAACTAGGCACTTGGCTTCGTTTGCATTCCGTGGTATATACTTTTACGGCTTGTGTGGGATGTACTTACTGAGCTTGACATACTTCAGTTACATATATTTTAGTCATAAGGATAATGAATCGAGCTTGCTAGAAAAAAAAATCGTCACAGAAACAATATTCTACTAAAACTACTAAATGATATTATGAATATGATTATATAATGTATTAATAATTATTATTTTTTATGTAGAGATTATTAAAATCTGCTGCGTAATCCTTGCCAGATTATAATAAAAAATATTAAAACAAAAATATAATAGTATTAAAACTTCATACGTGAAAGTTTTGATAAAGTAACGTGTAGACTGACAATGCTTCGAAAATGGTTCATACCTATTATAAAGTTCGTTTAAAGCGGAAACTACATCGTTTTAAGTCTATAACAACAAAATAAAAACGGCTTTTAAACGGCTCCTATTTCTAATAAAAGTCAAATGTTATTAACTTTATCAATCAACATCACATCCATCTACGATACTACGTCTGTCTGTCTGAGGTCATTCTCGCACGTGGGAACACCACAACAGACAGACGGACGGAGAGACAATAGACTGATATCGTGTTGAGATAACCCTCGTATTATACTCCTGATGACGACCAGTTTCGGTTTATATGTTTTTGGACGTTTTTATTAATTTTAATGTTCTCTTGTTTCGTATAAAATTGAACTTCCTGAGTTTTGTTAGAATAAAATTTTGTTTGTTATATTAATATAATATGTTCCATAACAGTAGATTTATACCTATTATTTGTCACTAGGTTCTATAAATGAGTTTATCAGACCTGCAATCTCAATTTAGACGGATTAAAAGTAATTTAATTCAGAGCATTTCGCACATTTTTCCTCATAATTTTTATGTCCGTAATTTAGATTTGAAGATCTAATGTATGTACATACAGATAAAGAAGTATGTTCATTGTTTAAAAATGTTTGTAAGGATTGCTTATAATATGCAGTGGTAAGTTCTAGTTGCCTGTCCTCGCAAGTGATGATTGATGATGACGATGATGAAAAGCCAAAGCTTCGAAGGTATTTATAATTGAAAAGAAATAAACACGTTTATGGACTGCACAATTTTATAAAAATAAAATAATTCAACTTCAGATTTAACTTATGGACGCGAGTGCAGAGTCAATGAAAAACATAATTTTACAAAAGTTATTGTACAAATAATAAGTTATGTTTATTGTTAAAAAAAAAAGTAAAAAATGTCATTACTTTCACTACAGAACAAGAAGAAAAAATAACTATAACTATCTGGAACAGGAAACCAGTGTATCTCTCTCGATATCTTAGATCACTATGTGACAGTAACGTAAACTTTTAATTGCAGCAATTACGTCTGGGAGTTTATGGGCGGTGCCAGGCATTGTCTTCCCACGGCTGGGCTTATCTAGATTTGGTCGGTTCATGGCCTTGCCGCCGCCGTGACCTCCGATTCTCACATTCGTCATAGCATTTCCGATTGTGCGACTTTTGATTTTTCCTTGTTCCTAGTGAAGATGTTTGTCTTTTATCCAATATAGTTAGACATTTGGAATACTAGTTTAGCAAGATATATAGTTTTATTATTTGTTTAATATTTTTACTTTTAAGTTCCTCCTAATCAATCTTATTAATGGCGAATAACTTTATCATCTTCCTGGCTGTTGTATACGCATACGCACATTTGGCAAAGATATCGACAGATATGTGAAAATAGGAAATAATTGCAATTTTCAAATAAACTACAAATGAGCAGACATAAAACAGACTATAATATATTCAGTAATCTTAATATGCCACAGAAGGGGGTATTCTATTTGCACATACATACTTTTGAATTCGATACCTTAAAAAATCGATTTCCACTTGAATATACTCCAAACTTTTTTATTATAAAGAAACGAGAAGACAACCTCGTAGCAAAATTCAAAACCAATACCAATAGTTGCTCGTTTAAAATTACTCGCTTGTGCTTCCAATTAATATAAATCAAGTTGAAAAAGTGTTTAATTATGTTTTTCAAAATATAATGGTTGATATTATACTTAGATCTCATCATATCTTTAATATTTAGTTATTTATTAAGAACCAGTATTACCAAAAATATAAATACCTAGTTTCTTACTAGTCACTTGTATGATATAAAACATCGATTGACCCAATCCTTTGAAGTCAACATATTTATATGCACATGGATATGTTTCTA